GAAAAGCTCATCTGTCAAACTTCAGAGCTGTTCATTTGCCTGGGAGACATATTCCATCATGGATGTGGTTCTGGGCAACCTGATCTAGTTGAAGATGTCCCTGCTCATTGCAGGGGGTTGGACTAGATGACCTTTGAAGGTCCCTTCCAACCCAGACTATTCTATGATTCTACAATACCACAAGTTTCCAATCACCAGATAAAAGGAGTGTGATGCTGGAGATGACCAGGGAAATGCTCTTATCCTCTAGCCAAGCTTTGTGCCTTGCACATCCTCCTGCCCTTCGACCTGTCTGGTGCTTCTGTATCATATCTGGGGGGAGTCAAGGGTGCAGAATTACCTTCTCAGTCCCTCCAGGCAATCAGCTGCTCCCCGAAGCATGAGATATGATTGCCCTTATTATTTTAGCTTGCATAGCAGTGAGTCTTCTTAATGGTCATAAAATTATCTAGTCCTTATTTAAATCCAACAACCGTCTGTGTTTCAGTGACCTCCTGATGGTCTCTGGCTTTGCTCCAGGTTGAAGAGGCATCAGAGGGACCCAGGAGGAAGAAGAGGCAGTGGGAGGATTAAAGAAAAACAACAAACCCCACGGCAAGCAACAGCCAACAAAGAAAATTCAAAGTAAATGAGGGAATATTAAAGAGAGCTCAATCAGTCAGCTGGAGAGCTCAAAACAACACAACCTGTCACAAAGAGAAGGGAGCAGCATCAGGTAAAATTAGCAACACTAATAAACTCATCAGCACCGGAGCCCAGACCAGGAAACAGCACAGAGGAGACGAAGGGGTTGGGAGATGCTTAATCCCACTTTGGGGAAGCAGGAGAGAGAAGGGACACAACTTGATGGAACATGCATTGGTGGAGGAACGTGGTTTGGATGGAGACCAAAAACATAAGCTGCCTTTTGCCTTTGTGCTCCCTAACTTACACAGCAGCAGCATCTTTAAGGTGTGCTTTCCTTCTGTCTTGTCCCTTGTATTTGCTTTGAGGGAAAGCACACACACAAGGAGACCCAGCCACCAGGGGTGGAAGGAGCAGGAGCAGCCGCCGGGACGGCTGCCCAGTCCCTCTGCAAAGGCTTTGGCCAGTGATTTCTATGTAGAATGCTTCCGAAGCAAATATCTCCTGTTTCCTCTGGATCCAGACCGCTCCCTGTCCTTTCAATAACATCTACAAGCCCCCTGAGTACCAAGATTTTTACAATAACCCCCAAGGAGAAACAAGAAGTGGAAAACCCCCACACAGCAGAGAACTGCTTCACTATTCCAGCCTCCAACACAGATCCCCATCAATTTTGCAGCAAACCTGAGTCATGAAATTAAAAGTAGCATCAGCATATTTCCTATTAGCTAGGGTTCCTTTTTGAGAACAGATCATACATTCCTCCCCTATTTTTCTAGACACTTGTGTCAATGCGATATCATCAGATGCCGTTCAGCCGCTCCTCTTAGCCTGAAAAAAGCTTTCCTGTTGGGAAGGATGGGGTTTGAATATTTCACAACGACTTCCTGAAGAAGCCTTGCTGATTTCCCCATTTATTTATTTATTTAATATCCCTCCCCTGATCAGAGTGGGCGCGTTTTGTAGCTTTTAAATATCATGCAACTTTTAGCATCGCTGCTGTTAAATCCCAATCTGCTGTCACAGCGCGAATGTGATTTACACCAGCGAGGAGAGCCTGTTCTGTCCTCCCCAGCTACTACACTTGCCTTGCCAAGGAGACACCATCATTAGCTATGGTCACTTGGCATCTAACACTGTCATCACCTTCCCACTGTCTTCCAACAGCAAAAAGCTGCAATAGAACCAAGCCTGCCTTGGCTGCAGCATCTCCCACACAGAGCAGCACAGGCTCCTGGGGTCCAGCATTACCTTGGTGATGTCCTAGGAAGGCTTTTACCTCTCTCCCCAGACACTTTCTTTGACACAACCACCCATCAGTCCAACTCACACCATTCCCAGCTGCCTCTCAGCCCACTGCTGAGGTTGGGAAATGGAACGGGTGGGTGCTGCTCCGTGTTTCCTTGGTGGACTGAAGCACGCAGAGGGGAGTGATGGAGAAGCAAAGGCAATGCCAGTGCTGCAGCTGTGGGGTGCTGTGTCCCACTTCCACCAATCATAACCCCCAGTGGGATGCTGCCACCCATCTAGGCTCCCTCCATTTGGGGTCAAACAACCTTCAGTGCTGGCTGGTGTTGGGAGGCCATGACCGGGAAGTGATATTCCCATTTTATAGAGCCCACAGTGCAGAACGGCCTCACGGGCTTGCCCTAGGACAGGCAGAAAATCCAAAAGCCAGGAGTGGGATTGCTCCTGCCCCATCACCCTCCATCCCCAATCCTCTCTGCACTCCCACGATCCAGTGCAGCTCTTCTCCCAGTCCAGCAGTAGTGGGAAGAGGTATGTGGGGACGCTCATCCCTCTCCATTGTGGCTCCTGCCCACCTGGAGCCATGGGCTATTCAGACAGTGGCTGCATCAGCCACCCCCAGTAACCAACCCCATCTGTGAGGAAAAGGCACTTGGCAAGGAGCTGCAGCAGGGAAATGCCTCTCTGCCATTAGGGAATCACAGGATCTTTCCAGAGCCTGAGGTGGGGAGAGCCTGGGCCCAAGTTGCCACACAGTGGGAGAAGATGGCTTTTCTTTCTTTAGTTCAGAAGCTGCGGCTTCCCTTTCTGTTCAGCATCCTGGTTCTTCCTCTCCATCTGTTCCCATCTCTGCTCCTGCCCTTTGCTCCTTGGGTACCTGCCTCCATCACAGCTTCATGCTCTTCCCTCTTCTTCGCTTCCTCCTGTAGTGTTGCACAACAAAGATCTGTAACCAACATCTCTGAATCCCAGACTCCTCATGGCTCATCCATAAAGGGTTTCCCTAGCTCCTTCTCAGGACTGCACACTTCCAGGACAGCTCTGAGGCTCATGCAAGCAACAGGCAAAGATGCCAAGAGCCAGGAGACATGAAGCAGGAGCAAAAGGCTCCAGGATTAGAGATGCGACCTTAGGAGAGGCATGAACTTTGCAACACCTGCCTTAGCCAAGAGCTCTGCTGCTTTCAAGGATCATGTGGCAGTACTTGACAGCTCTCTGCATTTATACATGCACGCAAAAGAAAAGGGTTGATCAGTAGAGGAGCAGGGGCTCACAAGCAGTTTGAGTGAAGGGAAGCTTCAGGCAACACTGCAAACAAGACAGTGCTCTGACATACATACACATAGTCCTTCAGCTGTGCATTAGTAAATCATCCTTTACAGCTTATAGCCCATAAACCCAGCGAGCATGCACGCAGTCCCAGCGAGCATATGCACACTTGTTAACGCTCCCCCCTCTCCCCTCCAACCAACTGCAAATTTATTACCAATCTCTCAAGATTTTCTAAAAGGATTTTCCACGAATGAGGCTGGAGCTCTGCAAGGAATGAGCCAAAGCCACCAGGATTTGTGCCACCACGGGGTGGTCGAAACGGGCCATTGGTGGCCACCAGGGTCTCTGCACTGCCCCAGGAAGCTTCACCCACAGAGAGGGCAGTGAACACGGTGGAAGGATCCTGTGATGGGCTGTTGAGCCCCACGTAGCTCAGCATGGAAGGAGCAATCACTGTGAAATTCAGCGTTGTGTTACTCCTCACAGCTCTGTCATGGCTGAGACAAGCAGTGTAATGACAGCAGCAGACACGGGAGCTGCCGTGGTGGCAGGATATAGCCATATGTTTGGGGCTTCCTCCTGAATTCAGTGCTGGAGCTAGAAACTGGGGAGCCTCAGCTCCTCTTCCCTGTGCCCAGCCACAAGCCTGTGTCCCACAGGCGGCTTTGCAATGGTCACCCATCCACATGGATGCTGCAAGACCTCCATTGGTGAGCCTTAGAGCAACGAGGTTCCCAGAAGTCCCAGTTTCATGTAGTGGCTAAGCCTGCTTGATGTGAAACAGCGCAACACCATGAGCAGGGCCAAAGCAGGATAGTTACCCCAGCAGTTCCCAAGCTGGGAGGAGGACCAGGCACTGCTCCACATTGGAGCCAAGCACCCATCCTCACAACACACCTTTCCCAACCATGCTGCCTATTAAACTCAGTTGAACAAATCAGTCTTGCTGGGAGAACAGGGGGCAGAGCAGTAATTCATCTGCCTCTCCTCCCCACCAAAGGCATCTCAGAAGAGTACTGTGTTTTCTACCCCAACTTATTATCCTTTCACTCTTGGGAGGCAATTTTGCAACAGGCAGAATGTGTTTTCCCTTGTCACTCTGCAGCATCGCTTCTCGCCTCACCCGTGTTTTGCTAAGATAGAGGGTTTATTGTAAACTTATTAATTACTTCATTTCTCCTGCAAGGAGCCAAGAGAAGAATTTCCAGAGGCAGCCAGGATCCGCTATTGTGCTGGCGGAGGAGCTGAATGCGCCTGACGTCAGGATTCATTTTCCCCATGACTGAGGAAGGCGACTCTCAGTGCCATGCTGTGCATATGAATCAGGCAGCGTTCCCCTGGCACAGCAGGCCAGGCAATTCATCTTCCACCAGGACCTCAGGCAGAAGAGAAAACTCCCAACTTTTCTATTGCACTTCCCTGCAAACCCTTTGGAGAGGAGGGCTGAGGAGATGGGGGCTGCAGCAACCCCCAGAGCACATGCTTGACCCTCCATCTCTCACCAGTTGGGTCTATAACGGCTATTCTCCATGCCTGTAGACACATGGATAGCTCCCAGGGTGATGCCAGCATGCATGCCGCTGGGAGCATCTAAGTTAACTTTCTAGCCTGCTACCTTCTCTCTAAGCTTAGGAAGCAGGCTCCTGCTGATATCAAGGGGAAATCAATATACACACAAGTTATAACAAATTAATCTGGTTTACGTCATGAATGAGACTTGTCTGGAAAAACTGAGATAATGGTGTCCTCCTTCTCAAAGCAGCACCAGCCTCAGACCATTGATGGGCGATTCATTGTCATGATTTACATGTGGGAGAGTAGAGTGTGTATCCCAAATAAAGGAGTCATACACCTAGTTGAGGAAGTGACACTTTATTCTTCCAACAGAAGAACTATACCCACTGTAACACAACATGTCATACTTGAGGGGGTGCCCTCTGAGGAGGGAGACCCCTGTCAAGCTGAGCAGGTACCCACAGCCTGGCAAGCTAAACCCAGCAGCAGTGAGCACAACCCAAATTGCTCCTCCTGCAAGTCCTGAGATGATAGAGAACCCAAGAGTGTTGGTGTGGAACAAAAAGCACACCAGTGACATGTGAGCACATCACACAACACTGTGGTGTCAACACAGGTACAGGCCTTCAAATGGCCATTTATGCTTGTGCTTGTCTGCTGAGTGGTGGCAGGCTCGGGTAATGGGATATCTTGGAAGATAATTTCAGCCCTGTTGAGAGATGAGCTGCTTGCAAGAGCTGGAGGTATCCACAAAGAACCTGCTACTCATGACGGATCCTTCTGCACGTCCCTGGCTTCAAGGACCAAGCCCTTGGCTCCCAGAGGAGAAGACAACTATGAGGGCAGGAAGCACCAGCCTCTTGCAAGGTTCATCTCTCTGCCAGAGCTCAGATTTGGGGGACCCTTTTGTGAAAAGCTGCAAACGGTGATGCTATGGCTCCTCAAACCACCATTTCCCACCATATTCCCAGAGAGATGCCGACACAGGCTAGGCAGTGATGAACACATTTCCCAGTTCAAAGGCAGGGAGTGGGTCTTGGCACAGTAGAGCCCTGGGATGGAGCTAGACTTGCCCTCCCACAGGAGGGAAATGATGCTTTTGATAGGAATCAGAGTGGGATTTCAGGATGAAAGGGGGAGAAGGAGATCCCTGCAAACCAGAGACAACCCAATACCACAAATAAAGGAGGTGGGGGGGAGAATTCTTCCTTGCTACCTCAAGAGACCTGCCCAGGAGTGGTCTACACGCGGCTGGTGCTGGCAGTGGGATGCTAAGCAATGGTCTGGCGGCTGAAGAGGTCGAGGGTGAGTGCACTGAGGAATGCTGGGATGCTGTCCTGGCGAAGCAGGTGGAGCTCGATGAGCTCCCGGATGGTTCGGGAGAACTCGTTTTCCAGAAGCTGCATCTTTCGACCGGAGGAGCTGGAGGCCTGAGAGCAAAGAAGAACAAACCCATTAATACAGCAGGGTTTTAATTCGCCTCCAAAGACACAGGGCAGTGCTGGTGGCATCACCCTGAAGCCTCCTTTGAATGGATCCACCTGTAATCAAGGACATGTTACTTGCTGCAGCATGGGTGTTCAGCACACAGGTAACTGGGCTGTTACTGAGTTGGGCATAGAACCATAGAATAGTTTGGGTTGGAAAGGACCTTAAGAGCATCCAGTTCCAACCCCTGGCCATGGGCAGGGACACCTCACACTAAACCATGCCACCCAAGGCTCTGTCCAACCTGGCCTTGAACACTGCCAGGGATGGGGCATTTACCACTTCTTCAGGCAACCTGTTCCAGTGCCTCACAACCCTCACAGTAAAGAACTTCTTCCTTATATCCAACCTGAATTTCCCCTGTTTAAGTTTAAACCCATCACCCCTTGTCCTATCCATGGGAGCTTCCCCCAGTGACAAATGGGGCAGTGGAGAGACGAGGTTTGACCATCCTGGAAAGAGGTTGCACAGGGGCCAGGCTGTGCTGCCAGCCCAAAACTGGGGTGCTCACATCAGGGTCACCATCCCCATCACCACTCAGATCTCTGGACGTAGGAGCTATGTGCAAGGGCTTTCTCACCATGAAAACACTTAGCCCTGGAGTCATTCTGCTTCTGTAGGAGGAAGCAGACCTGTTCCTAATTAGCACAACTCCTTCCCAACAAGCTGCTGATCCACCCCGCATCCCTCAAGTGTTTCAGGATGTTTAAATCAGCCCAGCAGCACATAGCCAAGAGCTCCAGAGGAATTATTCCAGAGATGCTCTCATGAAAATAAGGGAACTCAACATGTGGGAAGAAGATTACAAATCTCCTGTAAGATATAAAACAAGCGGAAAAAAAGCTACATGCAAGAGAAATAAGGAATGCTTGAAGCCTCTCCTGCCCCTGGAGGCATGAAAGCAGCTTGTTTATTAATAAACAGCAAAAACATCACAGCGCAAATGCTAATTTTTCCCCTTGCCATTTTCCTCTTCAAAATGCTCCCATTCCTAATGGCTCTGCAGCTCTGCTTCCCCTTGGAGCAGCAACAGGCAAAGCCGGCATCATCCCAGTAGGTGCAGGAGCGGGGCAGACCCCTACCCCAAGAGACAGAGCAGAGGATTGCCATGTGAGGGGAAAAACATGGCTTTACCTGCCAGGAGAGAAGGGAAGTGATGACCACCGAGAGCCCTGGGAAGCCTGCTTGTTTCTGATTTCATGTTCTCTGGAGCCTGGGCACATTTGATTATGAACTTTTCATGTATGTGTCACTTTGGATTGCAAAGAGCACAAGGTACCAAGGATGCCCCTGTCACCCCTGAGCCAGGCAGGGAATCTAAACAAGGTTTCTGTGTGGAAAAGTAAATTAGCTTTTGTTTAAATCTCCTCCACTTGGGCTTGGTTGTTTTTCAGTGACTCCAAAGCATGTACAGTGCCTTAATCCGCTGCTTTCTGGAGCTACCTGACTTGTTTTCTGCACATCTGAGGTACCACTGGGTCAGATTAAAGAGTCTATGCAGAGAGAGGGGAGAGAAGGCAGACGAAGAAGCCAGCTGGAAGCACAGGGAGGGATGTATATCCACAATCCAAGCAGATGGAAGACAGGCTGGGTGCTGTGAAAGCCACACGGGTTTTGTTCTGCAAATCCCCCCTGGATTTGGCTGATGGGAAGTGCCGGTTTGGAGGAAAGTCCGAGTATTATTAATGCATCACTTGTGTCTCTGAAGTCAGTGCAGAACTGGATTCATCTGAAACGGGAATTCAAGCTCCGTATGAAATACGCACTGCCTCCTCCGCAGATTTAAACCACTCGTTGGGCACAGAATCCATTTTCTAAGAATTTACAAGTAAATCCATTAATTGGTTTACCAGTTTAATTAATTGAAGCCAGTTCCTTAAGAAATATAGCATCCAGTGCCAGAACATTTCCTTGTGTTTCATGATCTTGGAATCAGAGTAACAGAAACGTTTTCAATCCCCCCTCTGCTTTGAGCTCACCGGCATCGCGGGTGAAGGCTACATTTGAATCATTCTTTTTCATGAGATTAACGGTAATTTCTCTCTACTACTCTTCATAACCAAAGTTTCCTCCTTCAGCAGAGGCAGGAGAATAACGCTCATAGAAAGTTACGTGAATGAATACGTGCTTTGGAGATGTTACTTCCTATTGAGTTCAATGGGACTGTGGTTTCTCTTGGTTGTTGCGTGGTCAAGGGAAGCACTGTCCTTCCCACTGTGGCCTCACACCTCCCCAGGAACTCCAAAAGAAGTTTCCAAACCCCACACATCTCACCCAGGCTTCTTATGCTCTCTTCTGTAACAGGAGCAAGGCGAGAGGGCAGGCACTTGGAAAAAAGGCAATTCTTCCTCTGCTGGGAGATGCTTACATGCTAACGGTGAGGATGGATGCGCTTGCAGTTCAGTTTATTCAATCTCATGCTGCTTTTAAAAAAAGTTGGGATATTTTTTTCCCTGAGAGTGTTTTAAAATTGCTATCATTGTTACCTTTCTTCTTTGTTTTTATTGTTTTCCTTCACCCATCTGTTCATAACGCAGTAGAGATGGGGATATATAGATAGCTTTGTTGCTTTGGGTTCAACAGCAGGAGAACCTTTGCAGCATGTGCTTTACAAATAAAGTGATTATAGGAAATAATAGCAATATGTTCCCCTTAATTCACAAGGTTTCTTTTCAAATGTCAGTCTGTTCCCTGCCTGGTGCACCCAGTGAGTGCAGGAAGCGCTGCTGTGGGTGGCGTGGGAGCAAGAAGGGGATGATGACAAGGACACTGGAGGGGATGCTCTGCTGAATGAATCCTACAGGGTCTGGTTGTTCTACCCTGGTTTGGATCGGTGCAGAGCAGACTCGCAACCCCAGCTCTAAAAGGGGGATTTATGAGAAATACAAAGGTGAAATCTTCAGCAGTTCAAATCTATAAGGATGCCTGAGTCCTCCTCTGCACAGTTCCCAACCAGGAAACCCTCCACTCATTTTTAATCAATCTTTACAATTAAAACATCTCAACCCTCAAAGAAAAACTCCTGGACACAATCCCTGCTAACAAGAAGTTGCAAGTGACAGCACATACCCACTATTCACAAGACATATGCTATGTAATGCAATCACCATTTACTCCGGTGATGTATGCCCAGGAATTCTAAGCTTAGATGGAGCCAAAAGCCAACAAAGCTCATCTATCAAGAAAATATAAAGCTGAGGAACCTGGATAAGTGTCACTGATCCACAGGGACAGTCCATGAGTGGGAACGGGGCAAGAGAGATTAGAGCACACACAAACCCAGCCCTAACTGCTCTGCACCCAACACCACTGACACTGCTTACTCAGAGCTACTCACTACACTGTGTTCCTTTTAGAGAGAAGTGTGAAAGAAAAACCATCAAGATTTAGAGTCAAACATGGGATCAAAGGACAAGCTGAGCCTGTGAGTACCTCTATTCACCCCGTAGTCAATGCACAGAGGAGTCAATGCAAGAGGACACTTTGCGGACTATGATCATGCTTCAATCCCCCCTTCCCTGCTGTGCTCAATAAGCCAGCCAAGTGCAGCACTTCACCAGACACACAACTATTCCCCCTGCACTCGCAGTTTTCCTGAGCCCAGAGCAGCTCAGCATGCTGAAGCTAAGTACTATGAGAATACCATTTCTCAGGTGCTCTTTACATAGACCTATATTGGTTTCTTCTAATTTATGGAAAAAAAAAATCTGCCTGGCTCACTAAATTACATAGATTCAGGTCTATGTTATGTTTTATTCAGATCTCAAATACTTGCAAAAGGAAAGATTTCAGCTTTCACTAAGCCCTGTTGCCAGTTCAGGCTGATTTAAGGCCTATGGGGACCTTTCCTAGAAGAGCAATGGAAATCAATCTTTGCCCTGTGTCACTGCATGCTCCATTCTGCTGGCAGGGGGGTGCGATTCCTGTCATAGGGTTGAAGAGTGACCCCTTGATTTTCTCCTCCTAGGTTGTGCCAGCCCATAGAGCAATCAGATCAGTGGGCAGATTTTACTGTACTGTAAAACACAAGGAGACAGGTCTATTTACCACATGGTGACATAAACTTGCCATAGCTGCTACTGGATCTGCAGCCATTAGTACAATTGTTTTCCAGGAGAATCAAGATCAGCTGCTGCTCGCCAGAAGGAAGCATCGTAAATCTTCTTCTTAGCCCTGGAAATTGGTAAATTATTCAAGGTTTATAGTTTAGATAGACATATAAAAGTCTCTCAAATAACCACCAGTGTGCTACAAAAGTGAGCTCTCCTCTCCAACAGGGACCATCTCAGCGAGGAGTAGACATGCAGAGGAGCAATAGGCATTCCCAAAGGACCCTCTTGGGGAAAGGACCTGCAGCTGGCTGGACCAGGCTGGTAATGCCACAACATATGAACCATAAAGGAGGTTCTCCCAACTGTTGTTGCTTCAACTTAACACACACAGGGCTTCTGACTGCACTGATTCTGCTAAGATGGCTCCTTCCCCCCTCGCTACTGTTGCACAGAAACCCTCCCTGAAAGCCAAATGCCAGTATTTACTGCTCCACCAGCTGAGAGGTGTGACAGTGTCTCCTTTACAACATGGGGTTCAGAACTCTGAACTAGGCACACCAATACTTTAGTTTTCTGTATGCCCTTTTCCTCTCGGACATAAGAACAACAGATGTCCCAGCTGTGGCTCCAAAAGTGCCATCAGCTATGAAGCGGCATGCAGCGCGACTTAAACCACACAAAGGATGCTTCTTGAAAAATACTGGTGACTCAACACCCTGTACACCTTAGGACTCCAGAATAAGACGGAAAAGAGGGTGGCTGCAAGCCCCAAGGAGAAGGCTGACATGGGATGTGGCATCATGAGAAAACATGGGGTAGAAATGAAGAAAAAGCGAGAAGACGTCTTCAGCATTCAATGCAACTTGAGATTTCAGCATAAACTGAGGATA